TGGGTCCCTACCAAAAGATGGGGCTCTGGCCGGGCTCGCGAACCACGTAGTAGTCCTTGTCGAGCGGCAGCAGCTTGGCCAAGCCGAAGTCGGCGATCTTGACGTGAGCCTCGTTCTCCACCAGGATGTTCCGGGCCGCCAGGTCGCGATGCACGCAGCGGCGGGAGCCCAGGTACTCCATGCCCTGCGGGTGGGCGGCGTGCACTTGCGGAGGGACCCCAAACTGGATCGGAATTCCACCCCAACCCGCCCCAGACCTCCAAGCCCGAGCCTACCCCGGACTCCTGGGCTCCGCTCCGACAGAGCCCAACTCGACCCCACCCCGCAATCCCACCTGGATCCCAAACCCCCCCCCTCGGCCTACAAACCACCCGATGGGCCCCGAAGGTCCTGGGGTCGCTCCACTCTGACTCCCGCCCCGCACCTTGCAGATCTGCGAGGCGTAGAGGAGGAGGCGGCTCGAGTCCAGGCGTGCGCGGTGCCGCTGCAGAAAGTCACGCAGGCATCCGCTGGGCAGGTACTCCATGACCAGCCGCAAGCTCTGGCGACCTGCAGAGGGTGAGAGGTGCCACCGAAGGCCCACCGGCCCTGACAGCTCCCCTGGTGTTTTTGATTGTTTTTCAGTACTGGGGATGGAACTCAAGCCTTTTACATGCTAGCAACCACTGTAAACTGAGCTACATCCCCAACCTTTTCTACTTTATTTTGAGACAGGGTCTCGCTCAATTGCTGAGGCTGGGCTCAAACTTGCGATCCTCCTGCCTCAGTCTCCTGAGTAGCTAGGATTACAGATGCACCCCACTACAGCCGACCTCCCACTTTTCCTTGTGTCCTATTACCTCAGTGTTGCTCTCTGCAAAATGGGAACAGCAACAATGGTACTTCTCTTGAGCACCTTCTACAATATACATTGATACATTTAAATCTCATAATAGCTCGTTTTTCAGTTGGGAAACCGAGACTCAGGTTAAACGGCCTGCTGAAGGTTTTGCCCTGCTGGTAAGGGGCAGATGCAGGGTTTGAACCAATGCCCATCTGAATCTAGATTACCAAACGTGAACCGTTCCTGGTTGTCATTCTGAGCCCACATGCAGTGACAGCAGGAGTAGGTGCAACTGGAAGAGCTCCCAGAGGTGGCTCACCGGGGCCATAGCTGACACCACGGTACTTCACAATAAAGTCACTGTGCATGGCTTTGAGGATCTGGATCTCCCGCTGGAAGTCCCTCTGCTGATCTGGCCCACTGTGCTGCAGCTGCTTCACAGCCACCAGGGCGCCCGTGTTGTCACCCAGCGGGTCATAGCGGCACAACTCCACATTGCCAAAGTTGCCCTGGGGAGAGACAGCGCTGGTATCCTCAAGCCTGGGGTCTGCCCTGCCCCCTCAGTCCAGCCCCCTCACCTTTCCCAGCTGTGAGATGTACTTGAGGTGTCTTTCCTCAAAGATCGTGGGGTCCTGGCAGGCATAGAGCTGGGCACCACTCCACAGCCCGTCTCGGGGCGCCAGGGTGCCAGGGGTTGGGTCTGAGAGGAGCTCATAGTCTAGGGGCACAGAGAGTGGTGAGCGGCACATTTCATTCTGGCGGCTCCTAAGCTGATCTGCTGTGTAACTGCAGATCTGCACACTACCCCTCTCTGTGCACTATGGCAAGGCAAAGAGAACCTTGTGGGAAATGGAAAGAGGCACCTTCTGGGCCAAGGCAGCCCCCTTGCCCAGTGCACACATATGGTACAGACCCAGTGGGGTCTGGTGAGACCCCATCGCCCATCTCCTATGAGATCAGAATTTGAGTGAACTGGGATGGATTCGGGAGGTGTTGTGGTGCTCCTCCAGTTCTGGCCATTGGAAAGCCAGCTGGGTAGATTCACAAAGTGCCAAGTGCTATGGACCTGGACACCCTCATCAAATGAGAACTAAACTTCCATTGACTTGAACTTTGAGTTAGGGGCCTGTTTGTTATAGCAGATGTTATGGCTCATGCTGACTGTGAGCAGTCATCACCGACTCCAACCTTGCCAGGCACCTGGCAGGCTCTGAATGCGAACCATGTTCCTCCCACTGGCCCAACAGGACACTGCATCCCCACCCACTCTGCCCACCCCCACTGGTACCTGAAGTGATGAGGCTGTTGAGGTCCCGGATGACAGCTCGGAAGGAGGGCCTCTGGCCTGGCTCGTAGGCCATGCACTGCTGGATCAGCAGGGCCAGCTCTGTCCACTTGGGGGCCGGCAGCTGCTGCCGGTCCTCATAAAACTTGAGTTTCTGAGGCAGGGAGGAGAGGATGGTCACCTCCAGCCCATCCTCAGGATCCCCCCACCTGAGTCCACCAACTTCCGGAGCTGCACTTCAGTCCACTGGGAGTGCTGACCTTGGGGGGGTCCAGGTTGATGAGGGGCATCGGGATCCCGCTGAACACCTCCCAGACTGTGGCACCAAACCCCCACTTGTCAGCTTCCAAGCCAAGCGTCTGCGTCTCCTGGAGACACTCGGGGGCCACCCAGGGGATCCTGTCGGTGAGCACTGAGGGACAGGGACAGGGTCAGGGGTCACTGCCGTGGAGGAGACCTCTGTGCTCCTGAGTGGGCCGGGCACAGGGAAATGCAGGAAGGACTGATGGACCACGTTCTGCCTGGCAGACTCCTGCACACCCTTCCGAGCCCACTTCCTTAGGCACTTACTTTCCAGGCTTAGCACAGTGGGGCTGACACCAGGGTCGCTCAGCTTGATGAAAGGCGAGCTCCCATCAGCCCCCTCCCGAGCCAGCAGCACCTTCCGGGCTGAGACGTTGCCATGAGGGAGGCCTTTGTCCTCCTGAGTGGGCGGGGCATGGGAAATGCCAGCCAGGGCTTGATGAGTGAATCCTGTTTGGCAAACTCCTACACACCCTTCAAAGCCCACCCGCTTCAGTTCTGATGGACTCCGCAACCTCCCCAGACTCCTGGTGTCCTGTCTTGGCTCCTCTAACCCACCTGACTGTGTCCCTCCCCCTCTCAAAAACCACCCCACCTGTGGCTCCCCATTGTCTCCCCACTGGTCCAAGCCAAAGCCCTCAGCCTGCAGTTAAGACCCTTGCTCACTTTTTGCATGAGGTTCTCTTTGACATCCCACCCAGAGCTCCTGCCAACGCAACTGGCAACTGTGGCACGGGACCCAGGGTGGGCAACACCCTTTACAGCCTACGCGCCTCTGCCCAGGCTCCTCCTCAGTCTGACACACCCTCCTGCCTTTCTCCTCTTGACGAACTCCTACACAAGCTCCAAAACCCCAATTCTAATGTTCACTCTTTGGGGACCCTTTCCCCAGGCGGGGCCTCGGCACTTACTAGTCTCCCTGCCTCTCTTGACCTCGGGGCCAACCAGTCATCCCCTCCCAGGGCTCCCACACCTCTGCGCCTGCACACGGGCTCTCAAATGCCCCCGGGCCTCCTTAGCAAACTGTCTGTGCCCACGTCCACTCCTCCTCCACCCCGGGGCTGGAGCGCACTCACCAGGTAGTTGAGGGCGTAGGCCAGCTGTTTGACCACCTGCAGCTTCCAGCTGGCTGGCACCAGGTGGCCATGCTTGCGCAGGTAGGTGTCTATGGCTCCCAGGAGGACGAATTCCTGCACCATGATGCCTGGTGGCAGCGGGAGCAGGGTGAGGGAGGTGCCTAGTGTCGGCAGGCTCCGCCCACCCTGCGCTGGGGGGGGCCTAGCGCTGGCTCCGCCCACCTCCTTCCCACCCATCCCCATCCTCTCCTCACCTAGGGTCACTCTCCTGCTCTTGGAACTCTGCCTCATCCCCCCCTTCTCCATCCTCGCCCTTGACTCTGGAAAGGCCCTCTACCCAAAAGGGTCCCCTGAGCATCCACGGTGCCCTTTCTTGCTCTGTCACCTTCCAGGTCGTGTGCCAGCTCCTAGCACACACCAGACTCCCGAAAAATAGCTTCTCAGCTGAGCTGGTGGAACCCAGGGCCAGAGAGGTTATGCGGCCGCGCAGGGCAGCACAGACTCGAGGTCATTCTGGAGGACTGGTGGGAACCTGGTGGACCCTGGGGACCATCTGGGGGCTCAGCTATTGCTGAGTGGGGGTGGGGAACAGCCGGGGTGGGGCGCGGGCTGGGGCGCGGGGCTCTCACTGTCTCCAGCCATGCACACGCCGTGGAGCAGCACCAGATGCGGGTAGGACACCTGACTCATCAAGCTGGCAGCTTCCAGGAAGGACTGGGGAGGGCGGGAAGGGGGAGGAGGTGCATGAGTTCCTTGGACTCTGGGACAGAACTGAGGACCTCAGACATAGTGCTCACAAACCCGCACCAGGAGAACGGGCCACAGGCCCCCTTTGGCCCTGAAGTTCACCATCAATGCACACAACACCTGATGATGATTCTCTGATGGGGAGCGGAAGTCCCACTCTCATCTGCCTTGAGTCTCTCACACAGAATTGGGTTTGAAAAGAGCTTCAACTTTCCTCTGTGTGTTCAGCTCCTGCTGATGTCCACTGCATTGCTCTCCTCTTTGGCCAATTGGCCTCCTCACGCCTCCTTAGCCATGCACTTAGCCATGTGTTTTGTTTCCGGGGCTGGCCTTCAACCCCTGGGCTCAAGGGATCCTCCTGCCTCAGCCTCCTGAGCAGCTGGGACCACAGGGGCGCTTTATTGCTTTCCAGCCTTGTGTGTGTCTTTTAATCTCTTGGAATCCAAGGCCCTTCCTCCGGCCAGCCCTGGCCCCAGCATCTGTCCCCAGCATCTGTCCCCACCGGGCTCACCTCCATGCAGTTCCTGTGCTTGGCGTCCATGACCTTCAGGAGCACCTCCGTCGCCCGGGCCTCCCCGTCCACAGCCTCGTGGCGACATCCCCGGTAAATCTTGGTGAAGGACCCGTGGCCCAGGTTCTCATGCTGGAGCAGGGGGGCAGCAGGAGAGGCCAGTGAGGGGCTCCTGTGGGGCCCTGCTCCTGGCTCGGCCTCTGTGAGACACGGGCACTGCCCCGTTTGGCAGATGGGGAAACAGAGGCTGGGGAAGTCACAGCCCGAGGCCGCGCGGGACAGGCGGATGCTGAGCTGAGTCTCTGGTCCCCAGGAGGGACCCCCCCACTTCCTGGGGACCCTTACCCACTCCAGGCTGTCGGCAGGGATCTTGTGGAACGTCATCTGATTCAGCTTATGTTGGGACTGGGGCTGGACAGGGGAGGTGGAGGGTGGGCCGCAGCCCCTCCGGACCACAGTCAAGTTGGTCTTTTCTATGGGGGGGGACAATCAGAGGTCAGAGAAAGGTCCCCAAGAATCAAGGTGCTCTCTTAGTTGGGAGTCCTCTAAGATGAGGACTCAGGGGACACAGTTTATTTGAAAGGAGATCCTGGGAAGGGGTGAGGGATGCGAGCAGGGAGGAAGGAGCCCTTCGGAGGTGTCACCAGAGCACCGACTGGTGCTCCTAGGGAGCTGTCCCTTCAGAGGGGTTTATCTGAGCAAAACTCTTTCCTCTTCTTGTCACCCACAAGAGGAAGGAGATGGAGAGAAAGTACATGCTACTGGTATCGCTCAGATCCAGCCGTGCCTGGATCCACCTGTACTTGAAGGCTGAACGCTAGCCCAGGGGCCAAGAAACCACCCAGACTTGTGGTTTCTGCCACTTGTCACCACACAAGAGTTGTCACAGGTGTAGAAAGTCAGGGCTGCAGATGGATGGCCCGGCTCAGGGGAGAGGGTGGGCTCACCTTTGGGTCTGGGGGTACAGCAGGAGCTAAGCTGCAGGGCAACTCCATCCACGTGAAGCCCGCCGTCCCAGCAGGCTGCCAGCAGCTCCCGAAGGCTGCTGTGAGGACGGCCGAGGCCGACCAGCGACACGGTTCCTCCTCCGGGGTCCCGCCGGATGAGGCAGCCCTTGTAGTCGGGCCCGAGGGGTGTCTGCAGAGGGGAGAGACCCTGCGTAGGGGCTGGGCCGCGCTTCCCCTCCTCCTCCTCCCTCAGCACCGGCCTTTCCCCTCCCCCAAGAGCCAAGGCTCACTCAGTGTAGGCCGAATGTCCCATTCTCCAGGCAGCGCGCTCTGTGCACCAACCTGCACACACACAGTGAGGAGGAAGCTGTCGAAGTCCTGGGGGCTGCGACGGAGAACGTAGGAGCCGGGAAGTGAGCCCCCCGCCTTGAGCTTGTTGATGGCAAAGTCCAGGCTGCAGGGAGGGCGGAGTGAAGGGAGAGGACCCGGAGAGGGAGGCCACCGCAGCAAGAGACAGAGGGCGGCGGAGAGGCCAGACCTGGGTTTGATCTGATCCTTCTGAAGCCCTGGGCCCTCAGCAAGGAACACTCTCCGGGGTCCCCCCCACGGTAAGTCCGCAGAGGACTTGGGAGGTTAAGGAGAGGCTGTAGGTAACCCAGGCATCAGGGCCTCTCCAGGAAATGGCCTGGGGTCCCACGGGTGGGAAGCAGGACAGAGGCTGCCCTTGGCAGCAGAAGGCAGATCCTCATGGAGTGCCACCGTTGCGTTTTGAGCACCTGACCGCTGGTCCAGGGCTCCTGAAAAGCTGGGACATTGAGGGTCCAGAAGGGGAGTGACCCTGAGCTGGCTGGCAGGGGTGAGTCCTTACGTGATGGGGCCATAGCACTGCTCGGCCACTTCCTCCAGCAGCCGTGGCGGTGCCACCTCCTTGCAGAAGAAGTGGCGGGAGTCACAAATCAGGCGGAAGTAACCGTCCACCAGAGCCAAGAAGGACAGCGCCTCGGGCAGCCCCGGGAACTCGGCCTCCTGCGCAGAACCCCCATCAGCGCTCGGTGCAGCCCCGGGGTCCCGCGTCCCTGCCGCTCTGGGGGAGGTGTTAGGGCAAGGGGTGCTGTACCCACCAGGATCTGGTTGTCCGTCCTGGTGATAGTGACCAGGCGGTGCTCCCCAGCCGGGCCAACCCGTGGGGCTTGCTTGATGCTGATGTCCACGATTTCTGGAAAGTCACAGAAGGGCTGGAAGACCTGGGAAATTGGGAGAGGCCTGAGACTGGGGTCTCAGATCTCTCTTGGATCCCACCGACCACGCCCATCCTGGCCTCTCCCCTCTACTTCGCCCCGCCAAGCCCCGCCTCCTCCCGTCCTTGGGTCCCTAGCTCTTGGAGCCCCGCCCCTTCCCTTAGTCCCACCTTTTTCCTGGACCCTCTGTTAGCCCCCTGGGCCCCGCCCACTACTAAGTCCCCTCCCCTTCTCAGCTCCTCCCATTCCATTGCTGCCCCTCGGTCGCCCCATCCCTCACTGTTTAAGCCCCGCCCACCACCACTAGCTGACGGCTCCAACCCCGCCCCTCCCTGAGCCTCGCCCACTTTCCCACCCTCCCTTAGGCTCCGCCCTTGGCCCCGCCCCCGCCGGCCCCTCCCTCCCAGCTGGTCCCCGTGCAACCCCGTCCAGGGCCAGCGCGCACCTCCTGTGCTGCGGGACTCCAGGAGATGCCGCTGCCGCCAGCCACGCGGAGCAACCCCTGCCCATCCTGGCCACCCGCGGCCCCGGACAGACCGACGCGGAAGGTCTCAGTGGTCCCAGAAGGGTCCAGCCGCTCCAGGTCCATGATGTACTTGGCCATGAGCGAGTGCCTGTCCGCCTGGCAGGCCGCCACACGGCGCAAGGCGCAGCGCACCGTGGTCCGAATACGTCTCCGGGTCACGAAGCTCAGACCCTGGATCAGGTCGCGCAGGCCAGGCGGCAGGCAGGCCTTGTAGCTGTGGGTGGGAATTGGAGGGGAGCAAGCTGGCCTTCAGCACGGGGAGGGGGGTCCTCCAAGGTCACGCACAAACCAAGCTTTAGGGGCAATTGCAGCCTCCGTGGGGACACGAGGCAGACAGGGACACATTCGTGAACACAACTGAGGCAGGACCTCAGTGGGGGGGAGGCCATTGGCATCCACTGGACAAACAAGGACCTCACAGGTCTCTGAGCTCAGGAGGAGGGATCCAGCTGGAGCCCGGGTGGGGGACCGAGTTCATGGAGACCCTTGAGTCACATGGACACAACAGGCTGAAGGGGAGCCCCACCGGGGCCTGGGCCCTGTGGGGGCCACACTGGCTCCTTGCCAGGCGCAGCAGAGGCCCTCACCTGACGGTCTTCAGGAGCTGGGCAGGCCGCTGGCCCTGCTCACAGGCCATGCGGGCCACGTCCAGCACGGCCAGGCTGAGACACTCGCCCTGCTCCTGGAGGCTGAGACCCACGTGCAGGCGCCCACTCAGCAGGTCACTGCGGTGCTGCAGGAGGCCACAGCGAAGGTCAGCAACCACTAGCCCATGTCGCCCTGGGATCCCACCTCTGGGTTGAGCCCTGCAGACTCCCACCTGGGCAAAGAGGTGTTCCAGGACAGGCAGGTCCAGGATGGCACTGGCCAAGTCCTTGCGTAGCCCAAAGCGGTGGCACTTCTCCAGCCCAAACCAGTTGGGAAAGTAAAAGCTGTGAGAAAGGAGAAAGCCCTGGGTGAGGGGCAACCTGGCCTCAGCAGGATTAGGGTTTGGGGTGCTGTAGCAGACTTGATCAAGGCTTCTCAGAGCCCAGGTCGTTTACCCTTGCTTTGCTGTGTTACCTTGAGTAAGTGAACCACCCTCTCTGGCCTCTTTGATCATGTCCTCAAAGTTCAGGGAGACAATAAAATGTTATGATCCCTGGGGCTGGGAGGGGCTTCTTACCGCAGTCTGTAGACTAGGACTTGGGTGCCCGCATCTTCCACAGAGAAGACGTGGCTCGGAGGGAACCAGCAAGACAAGTCCTCCGTGGCCAAGGCAAAGAGTGAGTGGTACACGGGCAGGATGCCTAGGAGAGGGCCGTGAGCTCCCTCCTGAGCACCAGGGCTGCTGGGCCACCCCCACGCAGGCTCAGAGGGCTCTATCTCACCTTCAGCTAGGACATGTCACTCAACCTCCCTCTAAACCCTCCCCCACTCTGTGCTTTTCTTTCTTTCTTTTTGGTAACAGGATTGAACCCAGGGACACTCGACCACTGAGCCCCATCCCCAGCCCTATTTGGTATTTTATTTAGAGACAGGGTCTCATGAGTTGCTTAGGGTCTCCTAAGTAGCTGAGGCTGGCTTTGAACTCATGATCCTCCTGCCTCAGCCTCCCAAGCTGCTGGGATTACAGGGGTGAGCCACAACACCCGGCTCCCCTCTGCTTTCTTTTTATCTCAGGAGCCATCACATTTCAGAGTCTCAAATGTCCATCCTCCTCCCTGACCAAACTCCTATTCATCCCTCAAAGCCCCAGCTCCAGGGCTGATCCCTGTAGGCAACTATTTCCTCTCCCAGTCTGGGCCCCACACAGCGCTGTCCTTCCCTCTAACCCAGTCCTCTAGGGATCCACTCACCGCTGGCCTTGGCAGCCCTCACACACAGTTCCTCAGCCGAGTGGTCCCCAAAGGAGAAAGACAGCCTCTGTGGAGGCCCCGGACCCCGAGGAGGCAGCAGCACGTGGAGCGCACCAGCCTCCGAGGAGGAGAGGCTGCAGGAGCGCTGGGAGATCAGGGGCGTCTCCTCACTTGGAGGTGCCATGGGTGCAGTCGGCCTGGGGCGCTTAGTCCTCTCCAGAGGGCTCAGGGCTTCTGGGCGAGGAGGACAGAGCTGGAGAGGGACACAGTCAGGAGAAGGAGCTGAGTGGGCAGGTGTGGAAGGAGCCATCAGCCCCGGTGAGGGCTGTGCTGGGGCTGGACACTGGGTCTGGGTGGACACCTGTCTGCAACCAGCCCCGCCCCGCCCTGCCCAGCCCCGCCCCGGGCAGCTTGAGCAACCAATCACAGCTGTGCAGATTCGCTGGGCCAAAAAGCCAAGGGCTGCTGGCCTGTGCCTGTGGGGTTTAGAGGGATAGGGACGGCCGTTCTTCTTGTGGATCTGAGGTCACCGCTGAAGGATTCTGCACCTGTTGCCCCATGTGCCCTGGGGGTGGGTCCAGTCAGGTGACAACCCACAGCGCTTTCTGGTCTTCTCTGCCTCCCTCCCCTGTGTCGGGCTACATTGCCCAGGGGGTCCTTGAACTTGCAATCCTCCTGAGTCAGCCCCCAGAATTGGTGGGGCTGCAGGCCTGCGCCACCGTCCCCCACCCCCATGCTCCACGGGGGCTCCCATAGCAAGAAAGCTCCTTGGGTGGGCCCAGGAGGAAATCGACCCCCTCCACCTCCCAGTCTGTGGTTCCTTCCTGCGCAACCGCCTCAGCTCAGGGACCCCAACTGGGCGGGGCAAGGGGTGGAGCTTTGAGAAAAAAACACAGAGGTCTTCAAGATGGACTGCAACTGACCTGAGGAGACACCCAGAGTGAACCTTGGGTTAAAAAAAGTTTTTTTGTGTGTGTGCTCCAAAATAATGCCCCCCCCCCGCAGGGCAGGAAACGGGACACAGCATAAATGATGTTTTAACACCCCCATAATATAGCCTCCTGCTGGGGATGCGTGACGCCCCCAGGCTCTGGATTCAAATTCCAGCCCCGCCGTATCTCATCCCCATGGACTCAGTTTCTCAAGCTGTGAAATGGGCCGAACCCCCTCCAGTCTCGGGGAGGTGACTGGCTGGATCCAACCCAGGCCCACAGAGAAGACGTGGTGGGACAGTCCTCCACGCCAGCCCAGGGAGTGTCCAACAAATGCCTGTCCACTGACGGGAAGGGCACTTGGTCCAGTAGTGTGGTGGGTACCATTTTGGCTGGAGGCATGAGGAGAGAGAATGTTCTCCAAGGGACACCCTAGTGTCACCAGAGGCCAGCATCACAGGGCCTCCTGGTCACAGTACTGTTGTTTTTGAAATAAATCTTAAACTATACATATTTTAGCATATCGAAAGTAAAAAAGTAAAAGTCACAGGTAAAATTTGGGCCCAGAAAAATGCCCCTCTTTTTAACCCCCGAGGTCCCCTGTCAGAGCCAGGCCGCCCTCTAGTCTGGGGCGGGCTTGGAGTGGGGGCTGCGACCTTGGCCCCCTGGCCGGGCGCATGCGCAATGCCTCCTGCAGGGGCGCAGGGCTAGAATTGGGGCGCTCTTCTAGGCAGGGCCACGTGGGGACCCCAAGAGCCAGAGACGCGCTGTCCCTGGAGAGGAGGCCCAGCTGCCGCTGCTCTGGCCCTGAGGACCAGGTCTCCTTGGCTTCCTCAGTCCCTCCACCAGCCCAGTCGTCCCCAGCCACCACCGTCCCCCCAGGGGTGGCCAGAGCCTGTGGCCCCGCCAGCTCTTACCTGGCGGTGGGACCCTGGACTAAGGAAGGCCGCGCGGAGGCCGGGAGGCCGGCAGGAAAGCCCCACGGGCTCCTTCCTGTGCGGGCCCCTTGGTTTCCTGAGCCTCTTGTCATTTACTGAAAGTCAGAGCCCTCTGTGGGGGCGGGGGAGGGAGGCGGCAGGGTCTGGCCAGGGAGGGGCAGAAAGTTCCAGAACTTGGCAGGGGTAGCCCTTCTCAGTCCAGCTGCTGGAGAGCCAGACTCGGGGCCCAGGTCGTGTCAGCAGGTCGGCGGGCCCCAGGTCCACGCGTGGCTTAGCCGCGGTGCTGGGCTTTACCCACCGGTGACGAGTGTGGCCTGGTGCCCAGTAGAACTGATCGGCACCTAGGGAGGGGCAGGGGCTGGGTTTCCCCGGGAAGGACACAGTGGCCCAAGCCATGGTCCAGTTCTCCTCTGAGGTGCTTCTCTCGGGAGACTTCTCAATACTCAAGCCACTTCCCCAGCCCATTTCCTGGATTCTGGCCCTAGGAAGACAGGGGGACAGCCCTGTCCCCTCGGGGTCGAAAGCCTGGCTGGGAGACAGCGAACCAGAGGACAAGCCAAATTATCCAGGATTGTAAAGGCGTGGTGACAGGAGAGACAGTCGCAAAGGGGTCCCGACTTGAAGCAGGGCTAAGAACTGGCCCCAGAAGGGGTACCCCGGAGGACACAGCCAGGGCAGAGGGCGGTTAGCAGTTCAGGGGGGGCAGCCAGGAGACCCCTGTGGGAGGCCGGGGTGTCAGCAGGAGCCAGATCCTGGGACTTCAGGTCTTTAGGAGAAGGTGGATTTTGTTCTAAGAGTAACCAGGAGCCACAGGAAGGTACAAAGCCGGGGCTGGTGGCATTCACTAGAGCCTGAAGCCACCCTGAGGAGGAGGGGCTAAGCAAGCCTGGGCAGCATCTAGGTAAAGAGACACCTGAAATCCCAGTGACTTGGGAGGCTAAGGCAGGAGGATCACAAGTTCGAAGGCCAGCCTCAGCAACTTACAAACCCTACCTCAAAACTAAAAAAATAAAATAAAAAAGGGCTGGGAGTGTACCTCAGGGGGAGCTACCCTTGGAGTCAATCCCTAGTGCTGCGACACACACATGCACCCACACAGACACACACACAGCTGAGCCAGTGTCCTCAAGAGGAAGTAGAGCTTTCAGGACAGATTTAAGAGTTCTTCTTTGTCTCCGTAATCCCATCCTGAGTCCTGACTTTGATGAGTGTTTGTTGACTTGAACTCTGGGTGCTTGCCAGACACCACCTGTGTGTGAGGCCTGGGGGACAAGGAGGCCCAGCTCCTGCCCAGAAGAGCTGGCGGTCTAGTGGAGGCCAAGGTAGATTGTCACCCCGTAGAGATCTCGGGGACCCTCGGAGCCGAGCTGCCAGGAGGGCTTCCTGGAGGAAAGGACTTTGAGACTGAAAGCCAGGGACAAGCGGGAGGGGCAGACAGTGGTTTGAGGTTTGGGGGTTTCTGGGGAGGAGGGCACTAACTCAGGGAGGATGGGATCCGGGTGTCCCGAGATGGGCCGCGTTTCAGGGACAGGCTGACAAGTGGGAGGGGCCAGAGTGATTTGAGGTTTCGGGAAGGGCCCCTGGTCAGGGTGACGGTGATCAGGGTGTTCCTGAGAAGGCAGGTTTCAGGGCGCCTCACTTGGAGGGTGAGACAGAGGGACAAGGGCAGACATGTGTCCCCTGCTGGGTGGCGCTGCAGGAAGTGCCGGTGGGGGCTGAGCTCCGTGTTTTTCTTTCACTTTCTGCGCAGCCACAGTCCAGACGCACAGACCTGTGTCCTTCTCTCTGGCCCCAAACCTGAGGTGTCGGCCCTTCAAAAGGCCTGGCCGGCTTCTGGGCCGCTGACCACCTTGGGTGACATCTCTGCAACACCCTGAGAATGAGCAAGACTGAGGGCAGGACAGAGGTGACGCCCTCAGCCCCAGAGAAGCCCCATAAGGAAGGTCTAGGGACCAAGCCCAAACCTGCCCCGGGAAAACTGGGGACTCAGTGACACAAACATTAAAATATAGATCTATTTTTTTTCTTTTTTTTTCCATAAGTTTAAATCCTTGAGGGTTTCTAATGGCCGAGGAGGAAGGTTGCTTTGGAATTTGGCACCAACCATGCCACGGACACGAGTCACCGTTCTCAGATTTCTCCACCCTGTGACCATGAGTGACCCCCGAAGAGACCAGCTGTTGAAAGCTTAGGCCCTGGCGGTAGTCCTGGGAGTGGGTGGGACCTCTAGGAGACAGCCGGCCGAGTAGGAGGCCCCTAGATCCTAATCCAGGGGCCTGCTGCTTCCTCCCTCCTGTGCTTCCTGGTTCAGAGGTCAGCACTTTGCTCCGTGACTAGTTATCAACATTTGTGCTGCCGTCACTAGGGACCTGAAGCCAGGCTGAGAGCAGGACAGAGGTGACGTATATACACCTTAAATTTTCTTCTGGCAGAAGTTTCATAAATAATGTCAAAAAGTAATAAATGAAACTGAAAAGCAAAACTTATATAAGCAACATGTAGAAGGCAAAAAGAAAATGCTAAGGACCCAGAAGGATATAAATCCAGACGTCACACAAACATGAAGTGCAAATGGCTCCCACTTAGGCACAAGAACAAGGTTCAGCCTCATTCTTAATGTGTTAGTCAGCTTTCTGTTACTGTACCAAAATGCCTAAGATATTCAACTTAAAAAGAAGAGAGGTTTACTTTGGCTCATACTTGTAGAGGTTTCAGTTCATGGTCACCTGGCTGTATAGTGTGTACACCATGGTGGGCACACGCAGCGCATGATGAAGGAAGTGTGTATTAAAATGCAATAAATTCACATGATCGTTTCAATGGATGCAAAAATGATTTAAAGAAATTCAATACTCATTCATGATTGAAAATAAAAAAACTCAAGGCCAGGTGTGGTGGCCCACGCCTATAATCCCAATTGGCTCTGGAGGCTGAGGCAGTAAGATCTCTAGTTCAAAGCCAGCCGCAGCATTGGTGAGGCACTAAGCAACTAGGTGAGAACCTGTCTCTAAATATAATACAAAATAGGGCTGGGGAGGTGGCTCAGTGGTCGAGTGCTCCTGACTCAATCCTGGTACCAAAAAAAGAAAAAGATGGGGCTGGGCTGGGGCTCAGCGGTAGAGTGCTCGCCTAACATGTGTGAGGCACTGGGTTCAATCCTCAGCACCACATAAAAAAATAAATAAACAAAATAAAAGTATGTGTTCATCTACAACTAAAAAAATTAAAAAAAAAAAAAGAAAAACTCTCAGCAAATTAGGTATGAATGGAAATTTCTTCAAATGAAATGAGGAACATCTACAGAATCCCTGTAGTTCATATTACACTTAATGGTGAAAGATCAAATTGTTTCCTCTTGAGACTGGAAACCAGACAAGAATGGCAGGTTTTAGCACATCTATTCAACATTGTCCTTGCCCTTGTAGTAAGGCAAGAAAAATAAATAAAAGGCATAAAGACTCAAAAAGAGGAAGTAAAAGTTGCTATTTGCAGGTAATACAATTGTTTATTTTGAAAAATAAATAAAAGGCATAAAGACTCAAAAAGAGGAAGTAAAAGTTGCTATTTGCAGGTAATACAATTGTTTATTTTGAAAACCCAAGGGAATCTATAATAACTACTAAAACTAGGGGTTGAAGTTGTGGCTCAGTGATAGAGCACTTGCCTAGCATGCACGATGCACTGGATTCCATCCTCAGCACCACATAAAAATAAATAAATAAAGGTATTGTGTCCACTGACAACTAAAAAATATATATATTAAAAAAAAGAAATACTAAAACTAATGAATGAATTTAGCAAATGCATTGGTTAAAAAGCAGTTGAGCCTGATGTGGTGGCACATGCCTGTAATCCCAGTGGCTCGGGAGGCTGAGGCAGGAGGATCATGAGTTCAAAACCAGCCTCAGCAAAAACAAGGTACTAAGCAATTCAGTGAGACCCTGTTTCTAAATTAAAAAATACAAAATAAGGCTGAGGATATGTCTCAGTGGTGGAGTGCCCCTCAGTTCAATCTATGGTAGTCCCCCCCAAAAGCAATTGAATTCAATATGAAATAAAATTAAATTTCAATATGCTAGCAGAAAACAATTGGGAGAGGAATTTTTTTAAAAGGCCCATTTGTAATAGGATATGTAAAAGGAGATAAAATATCACTTCAGTCTGAATGTTTGTGTCTCTCCAAAATTCATGTGCTGATGGCTGGGAACCTAGCTCAGTGGTACAAGACTTGCTTAGCACGCACAAAGCCCTGCATCTCATCTCTAGCTCTGCAGAGGAGAAGGGAGTTAATGTGCTGAACTTCTAACCTTCAAACAGATAGTATTGGGAGGCAGAAATTTTTAGGAGATGATTAGGTCATAAGAGAAGATAGATAGAATTGGGGTCCCTATAAAGGAAGCTCCAGAGAAAGGCCTTGCCCCTTATACCAGGTGAAGACACAGAGAGAAGGCACCATCTGTGGGAAAGCAGGCCCTCAGCAGCCTCAACATCTGCTGGCACCTTGATCTTGAACTTCATAGGACTCAAAACAGAGAAATAAATTTTTATCGCTTATGACCTCCATAGTTCATGATACTTTGTTATAACCCAAACAGACTAAGACAGATAGTTGGGGAAAATTTAAGAAAAGACCTCAACACTAAAAACTACAAAATATTACTAAGATAAATTCATGCAGACCTAAATAAATGGAAAGGTATACCATGTTCATGGTTTGGAAGTCTCCATATTGTTAAGATGACTCATCTCAAAATGATCCTCAGAGTCTGTGGGAGCAATGGTACATGCCTGTGAGTTGCCCAGCAACTTTGGAGGCTGAGACAGGAGGATCACAGGTTCAAGGCCAGCCTCAGCAACTTAGCAAGACCCTCTCTCAAAATTTAAAAAATTAAATGCTCAGCCGTAGGGGGCTTGCCCGGCATGTGTGAGACCTGGGTGCCATTCCCAGCAGAAAGAAAGGAAGGAAGAAAGACACTATATAAAATTCTGGAACACACACATGACTCTATAGTGACCAAAGGTGGATCAGAGCTGCCTAAGGATGGAGGAGGAGGGAAGAATCACAGCACAGGGCCAAGGAAACTGCTGGGGATAATGATGGTCAGGACCTTGACCGTGGCAATGGTTTCATGGGTTCACATACTTGTCGAAACTGTGTCCACAGTGCATCTTAAATACACGACTTTGTACTCCAATTACATCTCAGTGTTTTGGTTTTTTTTTTTTGGGGGGGGGTACTCAGGATTGAACTCAGGGGCACCAGACCACTGAGCCACATCCCCAGTCCTATTTTGTATTTTTTTAAGTTGTTTATTTTTTATTTTTAGATGTTGGTGGACATTTATTTTATTCATTTATTTATATGTGGTGCTGAGGATCGAACCCAGTACCTCACACATGCTAGGCATGTGCTCTACCACCAAGCCACAACTCCAGCCCCTAGTTTGTATTTTAGTTGGAGACAGGGTCTCACTGAGTTGCTTAGCACCTGGCCATCGCTAAGGCTGGCTTTGAACTTGTGATCCTCCTGCCTCAGCCTCCCGAGTCGCTGGGATTACAGACGTGCACCACTGCTCCTGGCTCAGTGATGTGTTTTAAAACCATGTAATTTAATACTCAGAATATACCTCAGTAATTTGAAAAATGGCCAAGAGGATAGGAGAGCAATCACATGAACCCATCTCCCACCTGTTGGACTAACACAGATGAAAAGTGTGAGGACTCTGCATATTGGCAAAGGTGTGCAGACGGGAATCCTCATTCTCAGCTCTTGGGCGTGTCAATGATCCAGCCCTGGGGATGGGATCAGGGAGGAGCAGGAAGAAAAAATGGCTTTGGGGGGGTTGGAGGTTTGCCTGGTTTGTGTGAGGCCCTGGGTTCCATCCCTGGTGAAAAGAAAAGAAAAAGAAGGGGGCGGGGAGGCTGGAAGGAAAGGAAGACTTAGCAAGCCTCCAGGCCTTGGAACCCAGCTGGGCTCTTTCCAGGAACTGGGGCTTCCAGGAATGTATCTCTCTATAACAACAACCAGTTGGAAACAACCTAAATGCCCAGCTAGAGGGGATTTTCTGACAAAGCTAAGGCCAGTCTTACTGTGGAATATAGGAGTACTTCCTTCACCATGGAGGATATGTTCTACAACCCCAGTGGGTGCCTGAAAACTGTGGATAATACCAAACTCCATACATGCTGGCTTGTTCCCTGTACATGTTTTGGGTCCCCCCATCCCTGTTCTGGGGATTGACTCTTGGGGTGCTTTACCCCTTAGCTACACTTTTAGCCCCCCCTCCCTTTTTTTTATAGATAGGGTCTTGCTGAGTTTCTGAGGCTGACCTTGATTTGTAATCCTCCTGCCTCTGCCTCCCCACTCACTGGGATTACAGGTGTGGGCCACCATGCCCAGCTCAAATATCTTATTGTACTGTACTCACCCTTTTTGTGATAATCTGAGATGAAGTGAGGTGGGTGACATATGCAATGTGAATTAGCAATAGGCTACTCCTTAGGGTTACTTGATCAAAAGCACTGAGACATTTCAACAGTTGATCGGATAATTGACACAGCTACTATGTAACTAACGGGTAGGTAGGGGACACAGTGTGGATACACTGGAAAAAGGGATACTTCCTGTTCCTGGTGGGATGGAGAAGGGTGGCAAGAGATTTCATCATACTAGGCAAAAGAGTGCACCATTTAAAGTTTATAATTTGTCTATTTCTGGCATTTCCCATTTATTTATATATTGGTACTAGGGATTGAACCCAGGGGCATTCGACCACTGACTTACATCCCCAGCCCTTTTTATCTTCTATTTTGAAAGATGGACTCAGTAAGTTTCTGAAGCTGGAATCCAAACTTGCAATCCTCCTGCCTTAGCCTCCCGAGTCACTGAGATGACAGACATGCACCCGTGGTCCCCACTGGATGTAGCTCAGTGGTTAAGCACCTCTGGGTTGAATCCCCAGTAGAAAAGAAAGAAAGGAAGGAAGGAAGGAAGGAAGGAAGGAAGGAAGGAAGGAAGGATAAAAGAAAAATGAAAGATAATATGATATGGAAAGATGTTCACTGTACTTTGGAGAGGGAGGGGCAAACTTCCTCCGTCAGAAACTTTAAATGAGATGAGACTGGCAACTAAGGCCTCTTTGGATCTGCCCAGACTGTCTCCGGAAGGGAACACAATTTATTTGTCAGCTTGGGAGGGGACTCAGAAGCCATGAAGGGCGAAGGCGGGAGGCATTTCATAGTGTTGACCTTTCTTGTTTGTAAGCGCATTACATAATAATCGTGTTTAAAGGGAAGTTGTTTGGTTAAAAGAGAGACATTCAACTGAATGGAACGGAAGAAAAGGAGAGTTATTGAAACCGTCACCTTGAGCTTGGCCAGGAAGCAAAACAATCAGTTTAACAATGGGAATGGCAAACAGATCAAGTGTCCGCAGTTCCCCAGGTGCCAACTGCGGTAGCCTTTCATTCCACATCACAACAATCTCAGAGACTCACTCATACCCAGGGCCCTGAAGACAAGTGACAGAAGGAAGAGGCACGGGCCCGCTTCACTTCCTGCTCCTGGACCCCCTACTGGGTCAAGGAAAGGAAGCGTGGGGTGGGGGGCCTGGGGAAGAGCCACCTGGGGCCGGGCACCCCCCCTCCTCCCTTTACTTTCTGCCTGGCACACGGCCCACTCTGCCAGGGTGTATTTTCCTCCTTTGTTTTGGCTTTTGTCCATTACCCCATCATTGTCCCTGGCCCTCTCTAGGACTGGGAGTTTTTTTTGTGTGTGTGGTTTTTGTTTTTGTTTTTGTTTTTGTTTTTTGGGGGGGGACTGGGGGTAAAATCAGGGCCTCCCTTAGGCAAGCTGTACCCCCCAGCTCCACCCCAGCCAAGGGCCTGGGGCTTTAGTTTGTGGGGGCTCCAGCTGAGTCCTCAGGGCCAGTTCAGGCCTGGTCAGAGCAGGGAAGGAAGGAAGGAATTCAGAGAAGGAGCCTGGGGCAGGTGAGGAGCAGGAGAGGTGACAATCAGGGTCAAGAGGCACCTGGGGTTCAGGGGAGGACCTGGCTTCGGGACATTTTGGGGATCAAGGGTCAAGAGCCAGAAGCAGATTTTTAAAAATTATTTATTTATTTTTGGTACCAGGGACTGAACCCAGGGGCACGTGACCCCTGAGCCACTCCCCAGCCCTTTTTGTATTTTACTTAGAGACAGGGTCTGGCTGAGTTGCTTAGGGCCTCGCTAAGTTGCTGAGGCTGGCTTTGAACTCATGGTCCCAGGAGCAGAATCCTGCGCTGAGCTGACTGGGCACAGGTACGACTCCGGAGTCTGCAGTGAGTAGGAAGGGGACGACCCGCAGGGCCACCCTGCCACGATCCAAGCTGAGGTGTGGCCTTGTACCCTGGATTAATAAATGGGTGCCTTCAAGGTCCTGCGGAGAAGAAAGACAGGGGGACAGGGTGTTTGGCCGCCGCCTTGCCAACCAGGAACTCCCCATGCCTGGGTGAGCGGTGGTGACAGAGGCAGCCAGGACGCACAGCGGCTGGTGGGTAGGTCACTCAGCAGGTGTCCGGACCAACTTGCCAGGCCTGGATTCCTGAGGACAGATCTTGGGGAGAGGCTCTTGGGGGGCAGAGGGTGTGTCGTGGGAAGGTAGGGGCCCCGCAGGTCTGAGAGGGGAGTGGGGAACAAGCAAATAAAACTTATAAGTAAACGGGCGGAGGCCAGGACCCCACCCCGAGCACCCACGCCCACGCAGCCTCCTTCCTCTCCCGGGTCACTGCGACCCAGGCTTCGCGCATAAAAGCGCAAGGCCCAGGGCCAAGGCTGGAGCTCAGGATCCTCCCCAGCCCTCCTCCCCCCCCTCCCGCTCCTGCCCTAATTCCCTTCCGGGTTCTCTCCCCAGCTCCCAGGATCCCTTTGCAACCTGAGACTCGGTCGTCGGGTTTGCAGGATCTCTTCTGTCATCCGGTCCCCTTGCAGCAGCTCAGGGAAACCGAGGCGCAGAGTCGCAGGCTCAAGCCCAGGGGCGAGGCTGGGTCCCCGCCTTCCCAGGAGGAATAATCCCGCGGCCACTTGAATTTCACGGTAACCCTGCGGGCTGGTGTGGGCCTCATCTTACGGGGGGGAGAAACCTGCCCAGCGGGGCCAGGCGCCAGAGGACCGGGAGCACGTGCCTACCGCGGGCTGGCTTCTTGGCCTCGCGGCGCACAGCGAAAGAAGGGCTCTTTTGCCACCTGGTGGACGTTGGCGGCAGCGCCTTTAGGACCGAGTTGCCTTTCGCCTGATGTTGGCCAGGAAAAGTGGGTCCTAACCGGGGAAGAGGTAGGGGCTGCCACTACAAAACTCTTCTAAGGAGAGCCTGGGCATGCCTAGCATGCTCTTGGATTCCACAATAGTTTCTTAGATGTGACCAAGAGCGCAAGAAGCCAAAGGGGAAAAAGAAAGATAAACAGGACTTTGTGCAAACTGAATCTTTTAGCATCTCAGAGGAACCCCATCAAGGAAGTGACAAGGCAACCCACAGGAGGGAAAAACCTTACAAGACACATGTGTGATAAGGACCTTGTATCTATAGAATAAAAAACTCTTCCA